CTACTTTGAGAACCAGCCGAAACCAATTATAGAAGACGTTTGAGACGACCATGGATTTAAACTTAGTTTGACACAGAATTGCAACGTAACTACATCGTGACAATCCCCGTATTCCTTTACATTTCATTTATCCTTATTTACTTTCGTTCAAGCAAACGCTTGGCTGCCTCTGAAAACCCCTATTGCGAAATGTCCGGAGTTGACATAGACAGCCGCCATATTGGGCCCGCTTCAGATTTTTAAATGTAAATATCTAGAGTTTGGATTTATCAATGTTCAAACAAATTATATAGTAAGCATTATAAGAACGGTTTCTATTAACATTCCAAAAATAAATGAAAAATATTGAAAAACAAAAAAGTTAGAAAATACGGACTTTTTAAATTCGCTTCCGCTAGCGACCGGAAGTACTGACGACACACGAAAAGGTGATTTCACATATCTTAAAGCCATCATCTATCATCTCTAATAAGACTCCAGTTAATATCTTAGATCATTTTCGTTAAAAAGGGGCGACAAAAATCCATTTTAAAATCAGAAAACTGTCAATAACTTGGAACCAAAGGTGAGTATTCCAAATTTTCCTTCTGATGAACAAAGTTCATATAATGACGCATAATTCCTGAAAGTTTCATTGAAAACCACCGAATAGTTTTCGAGAAATCGCCTGCACAAAATTTTGGGGAAAAAAATAAGAATAATAATAAGAAACAGTAGAATCACTAGAAGGTCTTCCGCTGAAGACGGAAGACCTTAATAAGAAACAGTAGAATCACTATAAGGTCTTCCGTGAAGACGGAAGACCTTAATAATAAGAAACAGAGTAAAAACAATATGTTCCCAAACTCCGTTTGGGGAACATAAATATGCAAATATTTAATTGTTTTGGACATTACATATTCCAACAATCTATTGGAATTCCAATGGATACCAATTAGCAGATCTATTTTTTATTAGCAGACCTATTTTTGTATTCATATGAAGCAGAATTAACCCAAAATCTTATGCGTGAAAAGAAGAAGACATATGCTGTGGTCTTGACATTTAGATATATCGACGACGTATTGTCAATTATTAACAATGACAATTGTGTCTTATGCCGATACGATATATCCTGGTGAGCTTGAGATAAAAGATACCACAGAGTCTAAGGCATCTGTTTCATGCCAGGATATCTTACTTGAAAAAGAAATTTGATGGTAATCTAACAACCAAACACTTTGATAAAGGTGGTGACTTTAATTTTTTAATAATCAACTTCCCTTACTTATGCTTATTCAGCAATACTATTTTTGGGGAAAAAAACCTGGCTTTACTAGTAATCAAATCAAAATTAATGTTAAAGGACCCAATACATATAATGATTTATATCTTTGAGAATAGCTTACCTTTGAGAATACAAAGGATGTTAATCAAAAATATAAAAAAATCCATCCTTATTTAGGCCACGTCAAGTAATATTATGCCAAATTAATAAATCTAGAAACAAGAGGTACATGTAGATGCCAGGGGAAACACTGACACAACGATTATCAAACAAAGAAGAGGGCCTCACGATTTATCAAGGTTGTATACAACTTACAAGAATAAAAGACTTATTTATAAACTGTCAGTGAACTGGATCTTAAAAAGACACTCTCTGTTAAGAAGAGGGTTTAAATCGTTATAATTGCTATTTAATTTCAATAGGCTACGCATAGATATTGCATATTAAGTTTTTCCCGATACAAAAACACATGATTTTGTTATAGTTTTAAATCTATGGATCAGTGAATTAAAAGGACAGCCATTGAAAGATACACAAAGATGTTAGTTCTTTTGAAATGAAGGTTACAGGTGTATTTTCAAAAATAATCAAAAGAAAAAACATCACAAAACATCGTTGCAAATACATCTGCAGTATGAAAGTTGGAGTTCAAGTCAAAGTTCGTTCCTGTGGACATTATTCAAGATATTGCCGTAAAATATTTTAACTATCTTTAAAGTTTGTTGAAATGACAATAATTATACTAAATTGATTCAAGATTGTCTTATAGGAATTAGCTTGTCCGTCTGTCTGTGCAAACGTGTCTGGTCCATATATTTCTTACGGAGGATCATTAGAATCTAGTACTTCACAAAGATTGCTCTAGACCTAAGGTTGTGTTATGACTTTAACCCAAGTTCATTTGGGGAAGTTCAAGGTCACTGGAAGAAAAATTTCCTAATTCGTGTCAGGTCCATATCTTTCTTATGGATAAACTTCCTAAGTTCCTATTAAACACAAAGATTCCTCATGATCTAAGGGTGCGTCATGACCTTGAACCAAGGTCATCTGTGCAAGTTCAAGTTCAATGAAAGAAAAATTTCATAATTCATGTTTGGTACATATCTTTCTTATGGAAAAAATTGAATATACTACTTCACAATAAGATGGCTTATGACCTAAGTGTGTTTTATAACCTTGAGCCACCCAGGAAATTTCGAAGCTGCGAATTTAATTGGTGTATAGAGCACTTCCTGTTACTTCCAAACTTTTCATTTATAAAACAAAAATATTCAATGGTTAGACCTCGAGCATCGGAAATATAATCTTTCAATGTGTTCATGGTTTTTTTAAACCTTCAATTACAGCTCTGCTTACTGGTGAAGTAATTATTTCAAATAATGAAGACGTAAAATCACTTATTTTAAAAATATCAAAAAATTAGGATGCCCCAATCTTTTACACGGTCATCATCGTGTACTGGTTTCAGTTGCGGAAGCAGGTATAAAGACTTTGTCTTTGTTCTTATATTTAGGGGAGCTTTTTTTAGAATTATCACACCTATACACGATTCCTTAACAATCATTTTTCCCAACAAAGACTCATTTTAGGTTCAGTCAATGTTTAACCAACTTCTTTCTTTACTCCTCACTAAAATATTAACAGCAGTGTAGTAGAAACGTCAGAAGAACTGTTCAACGATATCTTCAAGAAATGTTGTAAATGATGTAAATACTTAAAAACTACAAAGATTTTAAATCACAAAATTTAACCAAATCAATATCATCAAAATGTACAGGTTTTAACACTCTACACAATCATTTTTATCAATACATTAAAATCCAAGAAGAAAAGTGTTCTTTTTTTTAAAAAAAATGGAAAATTTTACATTTAGCTGGATATATGGTGTTTGTACTGAAGATGATTTGATATGTAAGAGTATGCTTAACGTACAATAATTATTAAAACGGGACAAGATTATTCACAAACAATTTGATAAAACAAGGATATCAAGAAGTTCTATGGCCGATACAATGACATTTATCAGAAAATAAGAAAAATGTATCATTAAAATATTAGTATGTAAAATGCTGATGGACATGTATACTTATTGTTTATCCGTTATTTCCAGACTGAATTGACAACAGATTTTCCCTTTAGTCTGTTTATGACAAAGAGCACACAGGGATGGGGATGTATTTGTGGGACATGGATGCTCTAAAACGAGGTAATTTATTGACAAACAAGTTGATGAAACAAGAAAATCAGCAGTCTTATTTTAAGTCAGAATTTCGTAAGTTCTATGGTCGATAAATTGTTAGGCTATTATTTACACATTCATAAAATTGTCGACGGATTTTTTTTGTTATTTCCTGATCATGACAAGAAGCACACAGCGTGTGTGACTAGTCGGCAGTGGATGCTCACTCCACCTGCTTCCATCTCTGATGACGTTTTTGGGGTCCTTGTTTGCTCTGCTCCCGATATGTATTGTTTCAGATGACTTGACCCCGAATACTGTTCATCATTTTCATCTTGCATTTATACTTTTAAGACAAAAACACACATGTACTAACTTTTAAAACATAAGAAATCTAAATCCGTACCAGGTCCTACGTATTTGCCTGATTAGATGCATTTGTGAACAAACATTGTGTAAAAGGGTTGTTGGTCCATCCGTTTCTATACGTGTGTCCATCCTTTGCGCTTTGAGATACCCATCTCCTCATCCGCAACCCCTTTTAAACCATCTAGTTTAATAAGCATGTGTATTAAATTCTGACAATTATTAGACCATAAATTGAACTTTTTACCAGAAATCATCAATTCTTTGATTAAAAAAAGGGATATTTATTATGTTTAACAAAAGCACATTTTTCTTCCTTCAAAATTCGTTCAATCTCTAGACATACAGCTTTTGTCATCGCCCTGAAACAAAACAGGTAAGAAATTTTTAAAAAGAACTCAAGAATTGGAAAATAAGATTACTCAATTAATAAAATAAGAAATAAAAATGAAAGAACTTTTAAGTGAAATAAAATGTACCTTGAAATAATCCACAGCAAAATAGAAGAGCTTTCTTGGTCCAAACAAGCTATCATCATCTTCATCATCATCGTTAATTTTATCGTTTTGACCGATATTCACAAGCTAGGAAAATTGTCAGGTTGTAATATAATTATATGAAATTTATTCTAATACTTATATTTTATACAATTTAAACAGATTTTCAGAAGGACAACAAGCAACGTGTTTAAATTTTTAATAGACACTTTCAAGTTCTTTCACGAGTTGCTTTTATTTTCCTTTATGTAAGGCTTGTAATTTAAAGTACCCATATTATAGTTACCATTCTCCGGTCTGGAATCTGTTGTGTTCTTGCTATCTGACTTCTTTCTGAGCTCTCCATTGCTATCTGATTTTTCTCTGGATCGTCTGCTGCCATCTGACATTTCTCAGTGTCCTCTACTGCCATCTGACTTTTATCTTCGTCCTCCATTGCTATCGGACTTTTCACTGGGTCCTCTACTGCTATATGACTTTTCACTGGATCCTCTACTGCTATCTGACTTTTATCTGTATCCTCTACTGCCATCTGACTTTTATCTGTATCCTCTACTGCCATCTGACTTTTCTCTGGTCCTCTTCGGCTATCTGATTTTTCTCTGGTCCTCTTCTGCTATCTGATTTTTCTCTGGGTCCTCTACTGCTACTCCCTGACTTTTCTCTGGGTCCTCTACTGCCATTTGATTTTTCACTGGGTCCTTTCTGCTATCTGACTTTTCACTGGGTCCTCTACTACTATCTGGCTTTTCTCTTGGTCCTCTACTACTATCTGAATATTCTCTGTATCCTCTACTACTATCTGACTTTTCTCTGAATCCTCTACTGCTATCTTACTTTTCTCTGGATCCTCTACTGCTATCTGACATTTCTCTTTGTCCTTTACTGCCATCTTACTTTTCTCTGGATCCTCTACTGCTATCTGATTTTTATCTAGATCGTCTACTGCCATCTGACTTTTCTCCTGGTCATCCATAGCTATTTGACTTTCTCCTGGATCATCTATTGCCATCTCACTTTTCTCTTGGTCCTCCATTGCTATCTGACTTTTCACTGGGTCCTCTACTGCTATTTGACTTTTATCTGGATCTTCTACTGCTATTTGACTTTTCACTGGATCTTCTACTGCCATCTGAATTTTATCTGGGTCCTGTACTGCTATTCGACATTTCTCTGTGTAACCTACTACTATCTGTCCTTTATCTGCGTCCTCCATTATTATCTCATTTTTCACTGGGTCCTTTTCTGCTATCTGACTGGTATCTGGATCTCCTACTGCTATCTGACTTTTCACTGGGTTCTTTTCTGCTATCTGACTTTTATCTGGATCTTCTACTGCTATCTGACTTTTATCTGGATCTTCTACTGCTATCTGTTTTTTTTTTACATGGGTCCTCCATTGCTATCTGACTTTTCACTTGTTTTCTTTTTTGACGTCTTTTTCTTCTTCTTGCTGAGTGTTTTATTGCTTCTATTTCTCCACCACTAAAATGTTAATAACGTTAAAAATGAGAAAGTTTTTTAAGATTAATATTCATTTCCTGTTCTAGAATGCAACGCAGCATGAAAGGAATAAATAAAACATTTTTACATTTTCTTAAATTTTAAATCTGTATTTTAATATTTGAATATATCCTGATAGACTGTGTATTTAAATGAAATTTTGGAAACAGCCTTAACAGGGGATGTATGAAATAGCCTTAGGTTTTGTAGAATATTGTTTTATAAGCCATAATTTACGGAGTTTCTTAGATCTTTTTCGCATATCTTTGGTGTACTTTAAATCCAATTATTGGATCACTCAGAGATACAAATCATTTCAGAGAACAAAATCATCTCATTTCATACACTCGTATTTAACATATTAGATAATATTCACATGTAAGAGAAGGTTACGTAATTACCTATAAGTATTCAACCGCTGGGTTCTCCTGCTTCTGGGAGCTTGATCAATTCTACTTTTCTCATCTAATGCTATCTGGCTTTTCTCTGGGACCTCTTCTGTTATTTGACTTATCTCTGGGTCCTCTACTGCTATCTGACTTTTTACTAGGTCCTCTAAGCTATCTGACTTTTATCTGGGTCCTCTACTGCAAACTGACTCTTCTGCTATCTGACTTTTCTTTGTGTCATCTACTGCTATCTGACTTTTCTCTGGGTCCTCTACTGTTATCTGACTTTTCTCTGGGTCCTACAGTTATCTGACTTTTCTCTGGGTCATCTACTGCTATCTGACTTTTCTCTGTATCCTCTACTGTTATCTGACTTTTCTCTGGATCCTCTACTGCAAACTGACTTTTCTCTGGGACCTCTTCTGCTACTAGTATCTGACTTTTCACTGGGTCCTCTACTACTATCTGACTTTTCTCTTGGTCCTCCATTGCTATCTGACTTTTCTCTGTATCCTCTACTTCATTAGACTTTTCTCTGTATCCTCTACTGCTTTCTGACTTTTCTCTGGGTCTTCTACTGCTATCTGACTTTTCTTTGTGTCATCTACTGCTATCTGACTTTTCTCTGGGTCCTCTACTGTTATCTGACTTTTCTCTGGGTCCTACAGTTATCTGACTTTTCTCTGGGTCAACTACTGCTATCTGACTTTTCTCTGTATCCTCTACTGTTATCTGACTTTTCTCTGGATCCTCTACTGCAAACTGACTTTCTCTGGGACCTCTTCTGCTACTGTAGATCACTTAATTTTCGCGACACCTTATTTTCGCTAGAAAGTCATTGACTCTTTATTAGCGAGACAAAATTTTCACGAATTATGGTCATTGCTCTATATAATCTTAAGAAATTCTATTATACGCGACAAAGAAATTTTAGCGAGCAAACTGTCTCGCGTTATTACGCGAAAATAAAGTTCCCGCGAATAAAAAGTGATTTACAGTATCTGACTTTTCACTGGGTCCTCTACTACTATCTGACTTTTCTCTTGGTCTTCTACTGCTATCTGACTTTTCTCTGGGTCCTCTACTTCTATTAGACTTTTCTCTGGATCCTCTACTGTTATCTGACATTTCTCTTTGTCCTCTACTGCTATCTGACATTTTACTGGTTCTTTACTGCCATCTGACTTTTCTCTGGGTCCTTCACTCCTATCTGACTCTTCTCTGTAACAATTACTGCTCCCTCACTTCTCTTTGGGTCATGTACTGCTCTCTGATTTTTCTCTGGATCCTCTACTGCTATTTGAATTTGATGCTTCTCATTTTCCTCGTTAAAAATACTTGTATCTATTTTCCTTTCCTCTGTTAGTATATGTTTAGCAGTCTAAAGAATAAAATTAGAAAT